ATTATACTGGTATCATTATGGTTTCTTGTTAAGAAATTACTTATTAGCCAATGATACTATAATAGTATATATTTTATGGTATCATTAAGGTTTCTCGTTAAAAAATTATTCATTAGTCATTGATACTATAAGAGTATATATACTCTTATAGTATCATTGACTAATGAGTAATTTCTTAACAAGAAACCTTAATGATATTATTGATATCAATACAGTATATATATACTGATTTAGTATCAATTCAGTGAAATTATTAGCCTTAATGATACCAATACAGTATATATATATATATATATATATATATATTGATTTAGTATCAATTCAACGAAATTATCAGCCTTAATGATACCAATACAGTATATGATATTGATTTAGTATCAGTTAAACGAAATTAGTAAGGGGGTATATAGTGTAATTATTTAGTGGGGGTATGAATGTAAAGGGGTATATGTTTGTAATTATTTTGCTTTTATGGGGTATTTACTTATTTTCCCCAAACAAGAACCCCAACAATTTTCTCAACTTTCCTTTCGATATATAAAAATATCCAATTTTGGTTCTGTATTCTCTTACTTTTCTTCAGAAATTCAACCAAATGAACTAACTTCACTGAAAATTAGAGTTGTCAATATGGGCTGGGCAATCCCATCCGGGCTAACCCATACATGCTTTGAAATTTGACAGGTCAGGCCGGGCTAGCCTATTTTTGGTGTGGGCCAAAAAATGGTCGGCCCAGCCCACAAGTACGTGGGCTACGGGCTTTGCCGGGCCGACCACTTTTCTTAAAAGCATATTTTTTAATAATTTTTAATATTAAATTATAATTTAAAAATATTATCATAAATATCGACAAGACAATATTAAATGGTGTTAGTGTTATTACTTGTCCACAAATAAAATTATCTGTATAATATTTATTAAATTTGATTTCAAGTAAAAACTTAAATAGTTAAACAAAAATATTAACCTCATTGTTTTTCAATGATCATAATAAAACACAAAAACTATGACAATATTCCATAGACTACGGCCTATGTAGTGATTCCCTAGTAAATTTTAAGGAATTTATATTTTATGTAGTACATATTTTATAAACATTAATTTGTATTTAAATTGTAATATTTCAAACTTTAAACAGATTTTGAGTTTAGACTCTTGTTATTTTTAAGGAAAAATTACTGAAATACACGTCTTATGTTTCCCTTATTTCCAATATCCCCTTCTATTTCTAAAAACCTCTAAAATCCCTTATTTCTTTAATGTATCCGAGCTACATATTAATGTATTTGAGCAAGTATTTAATATATCCGAGCTACATATTATGTATCTGGTTTATTTTATAATGTATCCGATCTAGTTTTAATGTATCTGAGCTACATATTATGTATCAAGCTAGTTTTTAATGTATCTGGTTTATGTTATAATGTATTTGAGATACTCTTTAATGTATTCGAGCTACATATTATGTATCCGATTTGTGTTACTTTTTAAGGGATTAATGTAATTACAAACTAAAGAGGGATATATTGTAATTTCATATTAAAACTATATGATTCCTAAAATTTACCCTTTTGTTAATACTCTATTTTATTTTTATTGTAAATTAATTTTTATTTGGCCCACGGGCCGGCCCTATTCATATTTTTCAAGCCCCACAAATCGACAGACTTATTCTTTTTTGGGCTAAAAATCTCTTTTCTTAAATGGGCTTAAAAAATCGTAGCCCAACCCTATCAAATCACGTTAGCCAGACCGGCCCAACGGCCTAGCCATATTGACGGCTCTACTGAAAATCTTCACAGTTTTAGTATAATCTGAATATGCACATACAACTATCGCTGAAACACATATTCGTATCAGTATTTTTTAATCATTCACTCGATTTTAGGTAAATCAATATGCTTTTGTTGATATATTGGTTTGTTACAATTATATTGTAATTTGCTACTTAACTACTTTGGTTGGTGTAAAATTGGCTAGTCTTCTGATGAACTGTTTTGGATATATTTTTTTGTTAATTAGGAATCAGGGATTTGGAGGTTAGATCTTGTTTGAATTGTTTTTGGATAGTACATAACTTGAAACTACAAGTAGAATTCAATGGGGAGAAAGAAGCATGTGCGTGAAAATGAGAGTCTTGAATCTTCCAAATAGGGTGGTGGTGGTGGAGGAAAGTCGAAGAAGAAGAATCGGGTGATAGATGATAATGATTACTCTATTGGGACAGAATTGTCTGAAGAGACAATGGTTCTGGAAGACAAAGTTGAGGTAGTACCAGAGATCAGTAAGAAGAGATGTAACAAGTCCGGTCCTCATCCTCGAGATGAGGACGATGAAAAGAATCTTGCTAAGCATGTTGGTGGAGTAGGGAAGTCAAAGAAGAATAATGTGGCCATTGACGATGATGAGTACTCTATTGGGACTGAAATATCTGCTGAGATGCAGGAAGAGGAATTAGCACCAGCAATGGCTTTTGGCAAGAAAAAAAGTAAAAAGGGTAAGAAGGGTGGGGTGAGTACGTCTGATTATGGAAGTCTTGGACAGGATGATGACGACGAAGACATGTCAGGTTTGTCAAGGGATAGGGATGGAGTGGTTGGTGATAGTGACAGAGAGGCTGACAGTGTTGCATCCGTTACTGGAAAACTGAAGAACTTAAAACTGGGGAAGAGCAGTGCAAGTTTGTTAGTTACATCTGCGCTTCACGCCATTGATGATGAGGATATCGAAACTAGGCAGCTATCTGAGGAAGATGAAGAGTCCACAATTGCCTTTACAGGTAGGAGTAGTGGCATTTCTTTTAGTGCTGCCCTTCTTAACAAAGAAAATGATGCAGATACCTCTCTTAAATTGGAGATAGAGGCAATTGAAGAAGATGATGCACCAGGAATTATTTTTTCAGGGAAAAAGAAGTCATCTAAGAAAAAGAACAAAAGTGCATCTAGCACAATGAACACTGCATTCGGAAATGTCTCAACCAATGTTGCTGATCAAGACCATTGTAGCCTAAGGGTTAATCGAGAAGATGTTGATGATAATAGAGGCAAAAAGTAGACAACAGATGTGTTAGAAACTTCAAAGTACAAAACCAAGAAAATAAAGGGTGGGCATGCTTCAAAGATTCTGGCAGAGCTTGGTGAAGGATCAACAATCACTGCTCATGCTTCTCTTCCACGAGAAGAGAAAAGTCAACAGCAGTCTCAATTAGGAGATGATACAGGGGAAAGAGAAGCAGTTGAGGAAGAAACTATGAAGTCTGCTGTTGCAAAGAAGAAGAAAAAAAAAGGAGAAGGAGAAAGAGAAAAAGGCAGCTGCAGCGGCAGCAGCTGTCTCTGAGATGGAGGAAAAACAAGAAGTAGCAAAGAATGATACCAAAGGAAAATTAGCAAATAAAAAGCAGTCGAAGCAGGTTAGGGAGATGCAAGAGAGACTTAAAAAAATTAAGGAAGCTGAAGAAAGCAAGAAGAAACAAGAAGAGGAAAGATTAAGGAAGGAAGAAGAAGAACACCTTCGGCTGGAAGAACTAGAAAGACCTGCTGAGGATAAAAAAACACTTGAAAAAAGAGAGGGAGAAGGAAAATCTCTTGAAGAAGAAATTAGAAGGGAAAATTTCTTGCTAGTGGCGGGGCTTTGCCAGTTTCAACTGGGGAGAGTAGAAAAGATGCAACCAAACGACCTATTTACCAATCAAAGAAATCAAAGGCACAAGCTTGGGCTAATAACAAATCCCAGGAAGAGTCTGTTGATAGCACAAAAGTGCAAGAAAATCAGCTGGAGATTGTCTCTGAGGTTGATTCCATGGAAACTGAGAAGGCTGAGGATATCGATTTGGGAAGTGTAGAGGAGAAGTCAGAAGTAGTTGATGCTGAAGAAAACAGAGTTGAATAAGAGGACATTGAGGAGGAGTGGGATGCGAGAAGTTGGGATGATGCCGATCTTAAACTACCAGGAAAGAGTGCGTTTGAAGATGAAGAGCTAGATTCAGATCCCCAACCTATCATTAAGAAAGCTGCAAGGTCCGTTGTGAGTGATACGGGGCCACTGCCTATTGCTGCCAAGTCTGTAATTCCTACTCAAAAAGCGGTTGCAAGTGTACCAGCTGTCACTAAGAATGATGGGAGTAAGAAGAGGGAGCCTGAGGTTGTGATTTCAGTGCAAGGTACAGAAAAACCTGGTGCTACTTCAAGCAAGAGTGAAGACAACCTTCGGTCTCCTATTTGCTGTATCATGGGTCCAGTTGATACTGGTAAAACAAAGCTTCTTGACTGCATACGAGGCACTAATGTTCAAGAAGGTGAAGCTAGAGGGATTACACAGAAGATATGTGCAACTTATTTTCCAGCTGAGAATATAAGGGAGAGAACTAAGGAACTAAAGGTTGATGCCAAGCTGAAGGTGCCTGGATTGTTGGTCATTGATACACCTGGACATGAATCATTCACTAATTTGCGTTCTCGGGGTTCAGGTTTATGTGATATTAGTTTTCGAACACGTGCATTGCACGTGTATACAATGCTAATTAGAATAAATACTTCCAAAATATAAGTGTACGATGTGTAAAATACAAGCTCGAATCAATGAACGGTTCAACATATTCAACTAATATTATGATCATTGCAAGACAAATCATACAAAAAAATTGTTATCAAGTGAATTGTTTTGAAAACTAATACTATAACAGCTTCAATTATACAATTCTTATAATATATCAAGTATTCAACTTGTTAAAACTTATTTTTTTTAATATGTTAAAACACATAATTTACATGTTGACATTATAGTTACAAAATATTTAATGCCATAAAGCTTCCGCCTTCTTTTTAAGGGATAATACCCTCCACTTGTTTTTACAGATGCATACATATCAAGAACTTGTCGTTGAAGGAGAGTGGTGTTTGATGAGTCCACAATTTGGACTCATTTAGGACTTTATTTTGATAGAAATAGTATCCTCAAATGCTTATTTTGTCTCAATATCTGATGAAAACTCTTAAGTTTCAGGTATTTGAAGTTTTGGTGGAAGTATGGACACTTAGGCGCAAAAAGGAACAAAGAGGCTGAAAAGAACGAAGAAGCTAAAGCCTGGGCATCGCCAAGCACACTTGGCGATTCGCCGAAAGGACGCACTCCTCCCTTTGTTCCAGTACGCGAAGCCCTGAAGGAGCAGGATCAAAAAGGCGATGAAAGGAGCAGTCAGTGTTTTACCGAATAATTCCGCAAAGCAGTACTATCTCACCAAATGACATAGAGCACGACCAGGCTGAAGGCTAGTGCAAGACGGCGACTAACTACACCAAAGGGCGAATCGCCGCGTTAATCGGCAATTCCGACTAATGATGAGTCCACAAATTGGACTCATTTAGGGCTTTATTTTAATGGAAATAGTGTTCTTGAATGCTTGTTTTACCTTAATACCTGATTAAAATGCTGAAGTTTCAGGTATTTGAAGTTTTAGTGGAAGCATGGACACTTAGGCGCAAAACGAAGCAAATAGGGCTAAAAAGAACAAGAAATGGAATCTTGCGGATCGCCGAATTTAACTTGGCGAGTCTCCGAAACGACATGAGCCGCCCTTCTTTCCAGTACGCGAAGCCTCGAAGGAAGTGGATCAAAAGCCGAGGAAAGAAGCAGTCGGCGGGTCGCCGATCAGTTCTGCGAAGCAGTATTGTACCGCCCAATGATCCAAAATGCGAGGATGCTAAAGGCAAGACACTGAAGGCAATGAGTTGACCAAAAGGCGGATCGCCGAGTTCATCTGCGATATCGACTAATGTCGCCGAACAATCCTCCATAGCACAATCTGTGAAAACTATAAATACTATTTAAAATTAGATTTTGGAAGAGAGGAGAGGAGAGGAGTGGAACATGTTATTATTATTTTTCACTTTAGAACATATTCTAGCTAATATTTTTCTTTCAAGTTTGGAGAGGGTTTTGTGGAGACTTGAAGAAAGAAGTTCTTCTTCCCCAAGTTGGAAGTGGGTCTTTTCTATTCAATTTCCTTTGCTTAATTCAAGGTTTAATTTCTTATACCTAGTTGATTTCATTATCATGTTAGGTATAATTTCTTATTTTTGTTTATGTGTGGTTTAAAAACCCCATTCTTGGGGTGTGATTTAGCAAATATAGGCTGATATTCTTGTTGGGTTTTGCTTGCTGATAGGTTAGATGTATGATAATGGTGATTTCACCTAGTGGTTGTGGTTCAATCTAAATGGTTTGTAATTGCAAATACAAAGCCACCCATGTGTTTTCAGCTTGCCCAGTGGTTGTGGTTTAATTTAATGCGTTTGTATTTGCAAATACGAAACCACCCATGTGTTTTCGGCTTGCCCGAGAGGGAGGTCGCGAAACCAAAACCACTATACTGATGGCCTAGGGAGTGGGTCGACATGAGGTTTAGCCCGGGAGGGTGAGCCCTAGTCCCATATACTAATACTCAGCTCGAGAGAGTGAGTGGGGTAAGGCATAGGTTGATCTTCATGCAGCAAATGGGTGTCCGAGAGGAACCCATTTGAAACAGAGTAAGTTGCCCGAGAGGGAACTTATTTCCATTCAAAGCGAAACCCCCTTTCAATATTTGACACTTTTGTGTCACCTCTTTTACATTTACAATGTCTTTTATCGCAAATGTCTTTAACTACGACTAAATTGAATGAAATTCTAATTGGTTATTAATTCTAAAAACCGCTCCCTTGGGACACGACCTCAACCCTCCGTTGGGTTACTATATTATTGACGATCGTAGATACTCATATCGTAGGATAGTGTCGTTGGTCACGATAAGCATCAAAATGGTGCCGCTGCCGGGGAGTGGTGTTATTTGAGAATTTTTAGTTCACTAGAATTTTCGTCTTATTGATCGTAGATTATTAACTTTACTCTTAGTTTTGTTTTTCTTTGAGTTTTTGATTGTATGTGATCCCAAGGATCATTGGCAAGAATCTCTGTTTTTCCGTAGTTTTAGCTTTACTAACTTAATTTTTAGCTTTGCTTTGCTTGTTTGTGTTGAAAATAGAAATTATGAGTGAGGACGTGGGGGACAGTTGCCACACCAACAACCCATTGAATATTGACTTGCACCGAGATGACATTGACGATGCAAACAGTGTTTATGATCCCGCTCCATTGGGTGAGATAGGTGCAATTCTCTTACCATAGGGTGGTGAAAATGGAAATTTTGAAGTCACTAGCACAACACTCCATCTCATACATTCAAGGGGCCTATACGAAGGATTGGATCATGAAGACTCACATGAACATATCCAAAAGCTTTTTGGACGTATGTGCTCCGTTGTCATTCAAAAATTGGTCGCAAGAAGCCATCAGGCTTCGCTTATTCCCATTGTCACTGACAGGAGCTGCCACTACGTGGTTGTCTGAGCTTTCCAAAATTTTTATCACATCATGGAAAGAATTAGTCACTACTTTCCACAATAGTTTCTTTCCCCCGTCAAAAATGATGAAGTTGAGGGACAACATTCAGAATTTCAAACAAAAAGCTAGTGAACCAATTCATGAGTCGTAGATTAGATATAAGAGGTCTCTGCGAAAATGCCCAACACATGGGCTGCCAAGTGAGTTGCTACTCCAATATTTTTATCGAAGTCTTGATTCAGTCAACAAAGGGATAGCTGATCAATTGGTCTAAGGAGGCATAATACTACAGCCCTTTGAGGTGGCCTCATTTCTCCTAGATGGTATGGTGAGAGTAAATCAAGCTTGGTACACCAAAGAAGATCAAGTCTCCGCTCTGTGTTTCAGGCTGACGCAAGAGCAACTCGATAAAGAAAAAAAGAGGGATGAAAACATCAAAAAGATGCTGTCTCAGATGGAAGATTTACAAGAGCACATGAAAGGCAACTGTGAAGTGTTTCGCGCAAAGGGGGGTTCTTTTTTCGATAACTTGAAATCGAGAGGGAATCAAGGTTGGAACCATAGAAGGAATGAGGAGCGTTTCCACCCGCACTATCAACCGTGGGTTGGAAATCAAGGTTGGAACCACCCTAGGAGATATTTCCAAGAGTGGACTGATCATAACAATCATGAAGAATACCAAACTCAATTGAGTGACAGCCCGACATCAAGGGGGAGTGACAGCGGCCCCAAGGTGAATGATCTACTGACATGAATTCTTGAGAAAGTTGAAGGTTTTGATGATTTGCTAAAGGGAATGAGAGATGATTTTTCTTCACTAAATAACAAGGTGAACTCTCATGCTAATGCCATCAAGATGCTGGAAGGTCAATTGAATATCCTATCGACTCAACTAACAACCACGATGCTAAAAGAAAATGAGGAAGAAGAGCTGGCCGTAATTACCCGTAGTGGAAAGTTAGAGATAGGTAATGAAGGAGAAGAACGTGAGGAAAATCATGGTGAGGAAGAAGCAGAAATTACCGATCATCAAAACATCGGCAAGAAAGCACAAGAAGGAATGAATCAACACAATGAAACTCCAAAAATAATACAACCCTTACCCAAAATACCTCCACCTTTCCCCAGCTTTTGAAAAAGAAGAATGAAGATGAGAGGTTTAAAAAATTCTTGTCTGTGTTCAAGAAATTGTCCATCAACCTTCCTTTTGTGGAAGCATTGCTGGAGATGCCAGGGTATGCTAAATTCATGAAAGAGTTAGTCACCAAGAAGAGGATCTTGGATTATG